ACTCGGATTCTGTCAAGAAATATTATGCTTGAAAAAAAAAAGAAAAAAAGAAAAAAAAGAAAAAAAGAAAAATGGGGGGTCAAGGTGAAAACCCGTAAAGGGCATCTTGTAACCTAAGGAAGGATTTGAGTTGAAAACCTGAAAAGGCGGCTCAAATGCAGGTTGATATTAGGCATCTGGCAATTGAACTTTCTGAAGATTTTGACAGTTTGGGAGAAACTTCACATCTACAAGCATTCTGACAACGTTTGAGATCTTCCAGACAAAAGCTTACATCATTTCTCTAAATTGTGTCAACTTGATTAATTTAGAAATACTTATGCTTATAATTTGTTGAGACATTTGAATTTTTATCATTCTTATGCTTGCCATAACTTTGAATACAATTCTATATATTTCAAGTTCAATTTATTGGAGATTCAATTTATTTTTGGAAATTCAATTTATTCTTTTCTATTGACTTAACATAATTTTGAAATAATTTAAAACTTTCTGAATATCACTTTATGTTAATACTTTTGAATACATGGAATACAAAGTAAGCAAATCATCACTAGCTTAAAGCCATGAACATCAAGATTATTACACGGGATCCTACCTACAACAAAGTCGAATCCGCCAAATCTACTCATCAATTGCTCCAACCGATCACCATTCAGTTCTTGCACATTTGTTTTCAAAAATATACTAAGACAATAGAAGGTGATCTTTGCAGCACTGATTCCAACAAAAGGAAACAAGACATTGATATCACTGGGAAATATGTCTCTATACAGATCCTTGTGTATGGTTTTTTAAGGAAACTTAGAAGCATTTCCACCTCATCAGGTTCAAGTGGAGTAACTTTATTCCTTCCAACCCATACTAGATTCCTTTTTCAGCACTCATCAAGAACATACTTCTGGACACTCGAAGGTGGCTCATTGTCATAAGCTTCAAAAGCCTTACAGATCCTTTCTGTCAATTTGGCACTTCCTGTACATGTTTATAAACAGTTCAATTTTGTTCTTGGATCCCATGAAAGCCATCATTTCTTTGTCAATGGAAAAGCATCAGCACATGGAGGAAGCAGAATAAGAGAAAATCTATTCTTAATTGGAAGAATTATGAATATAGCCCTTTTCAGTGTAGTGGCATGGAAATACTTCGAATCTACAAATTCTGGCTCTACATCAAATAAGTGTTATGATATCTTAGTCCAATCATTAACTGAAAGATGAATTTGCTCAATAGCATCTTCTGGAAGTGTTCTTTGAGTTATCTGATCTGGTTTGGCAGAACCAATCATTGAATTGAAAAGATGAATTTGCCAATAGCATCTTCTGGAAGTGTTCTTTGAGTTATCTGATCTGGTCTGGCAGAACCAATTATTGAATTGAAAAGATGAATTTGCCAATAGCATCTTCTGAAAGTATTCTTTGAGTTATCTGATCTGGTTTGGCAGAACCAATCATTGAATTGAAAAGATGAATTTGCTCAATAGCATCTTCTGGAAGTATTCTTTGAGTTATCTGATCTGATTTGGCAGAACCAATCATTGAATTTGAAAGATGAATTTGCTCAATAGCATCTTCTGGAAGTGTTCTTTGAGTTATCTGATCTGATTTGGCAGAACCAATCATTAACTGAAAGATGAATTTGCTCAATAGCATCTTCTGGAAGTGTTCTTTGAGTTATCTGATCTGGTTTGGCAGAACCAATCATTGAATTGAAAAGATGAATTTGCCAATAGCATCTTCTGGAAGTGTTCTTTGAGTTATCTGATCTGGTTTGGCAGAACCAATCATTAAATTGAAAAGATGAATTTGCCAATAGCTCTTCTGGAAGTGTTCTTTGAGTTATCTGATATGGTTTGGTAAGAACTACAGAACCAATCATTAGAATTAAAAGATGAACTGCATGATCGTCTTCATTAAGAAGTTTCTTTTCAAGCTTCTTTTGCTTATTCCTTTCCTAAAAATCATAGCACAAGTTTCACCTTTTCTTGTAATTGGGATCATTGCATAATGACTTCCTATCTTTTACCAGAAGAAGTGCATCAGCAGCATCTTTAGTCATTTGAGCAGCACATATAAAATTTATCAATTCTGCAATTGATGAATCTGGACCACATTTCTACATGGCTATTGAAGCTTCAGCACTTGAGAATCCCATTTTGGTCAAGTATAACAGTTTATTCTCCTCATCAGAATCAGAATTCAAAATTTCTCGGTATTAGAAGAACTATCGATATCTGTGAAATCATCTTGAAAGGTCACTTCATAATCAGATGAGTTGTTATCAGAATCAACATGTTGTATGAATACAAGTTTTTCAAGAGCCTATACTATTGAGTTTTATTCTCAAAAGGTTTTGTTACATAATATCTACATTTACATTTGTCAAAGAAGATAGATTCTCTGATTTGAAGAAGAAAGATCCATTGGGTTTTTACAATTGAAGAAATACTCAATTCACCAGTCTGAAATCAAATAAATTAACATTCATGCATCATATTTTAGGTATTTACAAAAATAGGTGCATTTTCATTCATTTTTATTCTTGTTGAATTTTTAACAGGAATTTCAAAGACTTTAGCAAAGATTCAAATCTATCATTTGATGGATCAGCTTTTCCAGAGAAAGTTCATAATGAGAAGAACTCATCTGAAGAAGGAAGAAGAAGTTCATAATGAGAAGAATTTGTTCAACCTTTTACCTGAATTCATCAAATTGATGGATTAACTTTTCCAGAGAAAGTTCATAATGAGAAGAACTCATCTGAAGAAGGAAGAAGAAGTTCATAATGAGAAGAATTTGTTCAACCTTTTACCTGAATCCATCATTTGATGGATCAGCTTTTCCAGAGAAAGTTCATAATGAGAAGAACTCATCTGAAGAAGGAAGAAGAAGTTCATAATGAGAAGAATTTGTTCAACCTTTTACCTGAATTCATCAAATTGATGGATTAACTTTTCCAGAGAAAGTTCATAATGAGAAGAACTCATCTGAAGAAGGAAGAAGAAGTTCATAATGAGAAGAATTTGTTCAACCTTTTACCTGAATCCATCATTTGATGGATCAGCTTTTCCAGAGAAAGTTCATAATGAGAAGAACTCATCTGAAGAAGGAAGAAGAAGTTCATAATGAGAAGAATTTGTTCAACCTTTTACCTGAATTCATCAAATTGATGGATTATCTTTTCCAGAGAAGGTTCATAATGAGAAGAACTCATCTGAAGAAGGAAGAAGAAGTTCATAATGAGAAGAATTTGTTCAACCTTTTACCTGAATTCATCAAATTGATGGATTAACTTTTCCAGAGAAAGTTCATAATGAGAAAAACTCATCTGAAGAAGGAAGAAGAAGTTCATAATGAGAAGAATTTGTTCAACCTTTTACTTGAATCCATCATTTGATGGATCAGTTTTTCCAGAGAAAGTTCATAATGAGAAGAACTCATCAAGAGCTTATTCAAGAAAAAAAAAAAACCAGAGACAGAGAACGGAGAAGAAAAAGACAGAGAAAAAAAAACACAAACTAGTACCAACGATCTCAGCAGCAAAGAACCAGAAGAAAAAAAGAGAGAAAAAGGAAGAAGAGACTTACCGAGGAAGCCTCGACCACCGGATCTCGTCAGAACCTTCGAAACATCGAAGGTATTTTTGTAAGATTCGCTCCGATTAGGAGCTTTTTAAAGGAAGAGAACACCGGGACCGTCCTTAGGACGGTCTGATCTATCTATTAGTATAAAAATAATTTTTTCCGGCTACCGGATGCGGTGGCCGGCGGTTATATTCACGGCGGCCCACGGTGGCCGACCGGTAACCGGCTTCCCTCCGATGAGGGAAGCTAGAGAGAAGGTAGAGAGTTTAAAACTCTCTCAATGAAGAGAGAGAAGAAAATGGAAAATGAAGGTTGGCCCTTCGGGCCAGCCGGTTTTGGACTCTTATAGTCCTTCCCGAACGACGTCGTTTCGGGAAGGACTATGCGCGTAATTATGAAATAGTTAAACCCCGTCCGCAGTCCTTCGTATTTGTAAATTTTACATTTTAGTCACTAAACTGAATTTATAATAATTTTAATTCAGTCTTTGAATTTTAATTTTATTCATTTTAGTCCTTTTTATTAAAATAATATATTTAGGATAAATGACAAATTTAATCCCTTAATTTTAATAAATAAATTTTTTATCCCTAGTTCATATTTTTAATTAATTTTATTATAAAATTTGAATTTTAGATAATTTCATTTTGGTCACTAAATTATTAAATTAGAAAATAAAATATTTAATCCCTATATTTTTAATTAGATTTAGTTTTATTTTTATTATAATTTAGTTATTTATATGTTTTCATTTTACTGCCTAAAATATATTGTTTTAGTGATATTTTTATTTTATTATATTGTATAAATATTTATATATTCATAAATATACTTATAATAAATAGTAATTTTAATATTTATTTTTTTAACATCGAAGAAAAGGACAGTCTTAATACAACTGGATGTCCTATTCTGGTATTTTAAAAATTAAACAATATTATTTAAATTAATATTTATCAATATCAAAGAAAAGAGCTGTCTTAAGGCACCTAGAAGTTCTTTTCTGATATTTTTAAATAAATAAATATTTTAAATAAATATAATTTTGAAAATAATAGGATTATAAATTAAATATATTTTTGAATTTTTAAATTTTAATAATAAGAGACAATTTATAATTAAAAAGTACCAATTTTGGGCGTTGTAGGGGTGCTAATCCTTCCCTAAACGTAATCGACCACGAATCCTTTTTTATTATTAAAAAGAACGAATTTTTGGTTATAAACGCAGATCAGTTTAATTTTTTTTTAATTGATGTTTTCTTAAAACTCTTTTAAAAGATATTTTTTAGCTATTCGACCTACCTGACCCAAAAGGCCGATGGCGACTCCCAAATTATTTTCAAAACCATTTATTCACATCACTTTTCCCGCCAAATATAATATTTCGTGCCCGGACGAAAGCCGGTTACGACAAGGAGTATGGTCTAGACAACATGTTCGGAACGCCGACAAGATTCTCATACGAAGAGTTGAAGAAAATCACCAAGAATTTTAGCAACAAGCTCGGCGAAGGTGGATTTGGATCTGTTTTTCATGGAATCTTACCTTCGGGTTCTGAGGTTGCAGTGAAGCACCTTGTTGGCCTCGGTCCAGTTAACAAATCCTTCATAGCTGAAGTTCAGACAATTGGAAGCATTCACCATTGCAATTTGGTTACTTTGGTTGGATTTTGTGCTGAAAAACTCACCAGGCTTTTAGTTTACGAGTACATGGCCAAGGGATCGCTGGATCGTTGGATCTTCAACAAAAACCGGGAAACTTCTCTCGGATGGCAAATCAGAAAGAAGATCATTTTAGATATAGCAAGAGGACTAGCCTATCTTCATGAAGGTTGCAACCAGAAGATAATTCACTTAGACATCAAACCTCAAAATATCCTCTTAGATGAGAATTTCAATGCCAAAGTTTCAGATTTTGGGTTATCAAAGATACTTGGAAAAGAGCAGAGTCGAGTCATTACGACTATGAGGGGAACCCCTGGCTACATGGCTCCTGAATGGTTAAGCTCAGTCATAAACGAGAAAGTAGATGTCTACAGCTTTGGGATTGTGGTCTTAGAAATTCTGTGCGGGCGACCAAATCTGGATGGATCTCAACAGGAAGAAGAAGATCGGCATTTGCTGGGACATTTTAGGACAAAGCAAGAAGAAGGGAAACTCATGGATTTAGTCGATAAGTGCAGCGATGATATGCAGTCGAATTCGGCTGAAGTTGTGGAGATGATGAAGGTTGCTGCATGGTGCTTGCAGGCTGAATATGCAAGGAGACCTCCCATGTCTAATCTGGTGAAGTTTTTTGAGGGATCAGTTGATGTAGAAGGTAACATGAATGAAGAATTTCTAAATGGATTAACACCAGAAGCAATGGAGGCATATTCTTCAACCATTTTACCCTCTCTATTATCTGGGCCAAGGTGACGATCATGGACTTCACGCAGATGGGGACATGGGGTGCAACTTGTATGCTATAAGGTATGTTCCCGAACTGTAATAACAGTTGATTGTTACAATTGACTGCCATTGGATTTGAATTTTTACCATTTTAACGTTGGTAGTAGGAAATGGTCTCTTTCAAAACTAAGTATAGTAGACGTTCTGCATGGTTAACCATGCATGCATCTCTTGCTTAAATATTTTCGTTCAAATATTTTCGTTTGCGGGTAGCTTGAGCTTGTTCAAGGAGTACCGTTGTAGTAGAATTTCTAGTGACTTCTTATCATAGTACATTACTATTTACTTTAGAGTGCATATGTATTCATAGGACTCTTGTTTATGTATTTGGTCTGTAAACTCTATTGGTATTTATGTTATTTTGATGTGTATTATTGTCACGAAACTCTGATTTTGTATTATAATTATTTTGGTATTTTATATTATGATTTGAGTTCATATTGAGAAAAAAAAAATTTAAATTCGAGATGGTAGATTCGGCGGCTCAATTTGACATCTTAAGCTCATCTATAGTGATTAGATTTGGAATGTTACAAATATAATTTGCATGACATTGAAACTTGAGTATAATTCATATACCAAACAAGCAATTAACCCTCTAAAATATCTATTTCAAATTTAATATATTCAAAATAAACCTAGTGAATGGATGGGTAATTCATGAAGGCTTATTGATACAACTGATGACACGAGGAATACTAGGGTGGCAACAGTGCGGGGCGGTGACGGTGTTGCATTACCTATTATGTCCCCAACACTTGCGGTTACAGTTTTGGGAATCCCCATTTCAGGGATTTTTTTGTCCACATACCCATCTGACGGGTGTCGTTTTGCTTCGTTAAAATAAATTCATTCTTCTCGAATAAATAAATAAGAAAATTAATGTAGTATAGAAGTAGGGTCGAACCCATAGGGACTAAAGAGTTAGACGAAATTCTTTGTCTTTTGACTCTGACCTTTAGGCGTGAAATAGAAAGAAATAAATGGGGTATTGTGGTTGAAGAATAAAAACAAGGAAAATTGATTTAAAGAAAATAGAAAAAGGTGGAATCTTGAGACTTCAATTGATTAAATCAGCATTAGACATTCGCTTTGGCTCATATTCTTTGGATCAATGAAATAGATTTACCCTTCGGGATTCATGTCGGTTACTTTGTCTACAATGATAGATCCTTGCGACTGCGACTACCTTGTATATCGAATACCCAACTGCAACTCTTAGATCTCTAATTTGGAAATTGATCTAATCAACATTAATTGTAGTAGAACAAGAACCGCTAAGCGCATAAAAATCAAATCAGATAGTTGTTTCCATACAAACTGTTTCTGATCTCAATTCTCACTTTAGCAACAATTTGCTAGTTGTGTTCCCAGGAAGTTCATTTGTTATCAATTAGTCGATCCTTCCTTCCACATGTTTAATCGCAACAACATTCCGACCATCGACTATCTTTGGTTTTGAAAAAATATTTTGATTTGAAATCAGCGCAAAAGAAAAAGTTACTTAGTGCTTTTCAATTCTCACATTAGAATTGAGTCATCGCTTAGCCCTTGGCTTAGAAGAAAGTTAACTAAGTATGACCAAAGTCATATTTAGCATTTTAAAAACAAAGTTAAAAGAAAATAAACAATGTAAAGAAAAAGAGAAATTTTATAAAGCGATAGAAAGAACAAGAAAGAAATGTTTGATTGTTGAATGAATGATGAAAAAGGCTTACCCTTAAAGGGTATTTATATCATTCTAAAACCCTAGATTAAGCATAAAACAATTCTAAAAATAATTTGAATAAATTGCTTGAAATGCTCAGCCGTCCGTCCACCTTTTGGAAGCTGTTGATCGGGTCTTCTAGAAGTTGTTGACTCACTGCCATGTCAGCATTTCATGCCCACTATTCCAGCCTTGATTCCAAAATAAAAAATATAGTTTTCGGTCCTTTTAAGCACATTTTCTAGAAATCATTTCCCAACACAGAAAGCACATAAAACGTCCAATTTAGTAGTAAACACGAACAATCAAAGAACATTTACGCACAAAATTTAGCACAAAATAAACACTAGTCAAATTCCCCATCACTAATCTAGTGATTGTCCTCAAGCATTTCTCAATCAACATACTAAATCCATAGGTTGTCATTCCTTAACTCGTATCATAATCTGATTGCCCCATTAAACCACAATTAAGCAAAGAATTAAAACTTAGAAAGCAATCAAGCAAGTTGCAAAGCTAGGAAATAATCGAAACAAGACATTCCAATGACTACTAATCTCATGATGCACAACTTGATTACCTCACAAAGGATTCACTCATTCGCTCAAAGTGTTTAAGGATAAGAAACGCTCAAGCCAAAGCAAGTCAATGCATAACCATAAGCTTGTAATGTGAGCTAATCTCCACCACTTAAAAACAAATTCAATGCAAGAGTCAAGAGGTCTTTAATCGGGTTGTAACGTGGCTAAGGCTTGGGTAGGGAAATAGGCCGAAAAGAAAGGTTCAAAATTGCCGAGACAAAGAGTCAAAAAAATTGAAACAAGCCACCAATAAGAATGAAGCACAAGGAAGAGAATTTAAAATAAAACAACTAAGGGATAATCGTTCGAATCAAGGGTCATTTTTCTCCTTTTTTCTGTTGTTCGAACAAAAGGAGTGCTATTTCTTTTTTCGAAACTTTTTTTTTCAGGTGAACAAATTTTCAGCAGTATTTCTTCACTGTTTCGGCTGTTATTTTTTGTGTGGCGAAATTGAATGATCAAGGTCTCGACAAGGGTATGAAAAAAGGGGATATGAAGGAAAAGACTTCAAGTTTAATTTGATGAGGTGAAAATCAAAGAAAAGGGAAAGTCGATTCAAACTTGGTTCACTAAGGGATAAAATAAAGGGTAGGCTTTTTGATTGGGGTAGATAAAATGACTAATCCTAATGCCTTTATCATCCAAAAGCATCAAATTCAATATGCATGTAGCCTAAAAAAGAATCAAACCACAAGTTCTAGAATGCAAAAACGATGTTGAGCATACACAAAGAGCAAGATTGAAACAAAGAATTCCTGCTCATTAGGCTCAAGTCTCATCAAAATAGATTCAATGCATCAAGTGAATGCATCAATCAACCAATAATCCATGGAACATCATAATTTCGAGAAATTAACTAGCTAAACCAACGAACCATCATTCATTCAACGTCAATTCAAAGTGAAATTAGATAACTCATTGGAAAACAATCAAATTACTCAACAAATCAAGAGAATGGGCAACCAATTGATTAAGCATATCAATATCAAAATATTTAATTTCAAGCATGCAACAAGAGAGCAAAAAATCTAACATGCTATCCTCCCCCACTTAAGTTGTTTTGTCCAAAAACGATATTCAAAATAAAAATGTAAAGGAGAGGGAAAAGGAATACTCCCGATTTAATGACAGCCGCGACATTGTTGAAAATTGAGAGAGAAACGGGGAATAAAAGAGTAGCGGTGGTGTGGGGTACTGGGAAAGGGAAAATCGATCGACGAAGTGCAGTGAAATTACGTGGGGTAGGCGACAAAGTAAAGTGAAATTGGGAATAGGGTTTAGCTAAAGTGCTCGGCCTCATAATTCCTTGCTAATGCGCGCCCAATTTTAATCAAATGGTGAGTTTCATAAAATTGGGTGAAAGCTCCAAGCCTTGCCCGATAATTCATTGCTTCCTTTGTGCTCAATTTGTTGCTCCAAATTAAAAAAATTAGTTGCTGCCGCACGCATTCTTCACGCCTCGGGGTTCAATTTTTTGTTGGTTCTTCACTATCGGTTCGGATGACTCTCGATTTCCTCTCATCTAAATTTCAAGATTAAACAACGGGGTACCTACAAAAATCAAAACCCCAAAATTAAAAACTAAAAATTGAGATATATTAAAACAAATATAGGTTGCTTTTCATGAAGCACTATTTTTAACATCGTTAGCTCGACGACCTGTTTTACTTAGACCTCATGTTCCTCCAATTCAATTTATTCAATTAATCCTACCTGAGTGTTTTTATATTATGTCTTCAATCTCTTACCATTTACTTTAAATCGATGGCTCGTTTCGTCTTCAATTTCCACTATGCCATGTGAAAAAATTTCGGTCACTTTATAAGGTCTGAGCCATTTTTATTTCAACATTCCTGCAAAAAGTTTAAATTTGGAATTAAAAAAAGAGAACTTTTTACCCAACAACAAATGATTTAAAAGAAAATTTTCTGTCATGATATTCTTTTAATTTTTCTTTAAATATTATGACGTTGTCGTAAGCATTCCTTCGGATTTCTTCCAACTCCTAAATGACTAAATTTCCTGCTTCCCCACTTGCTTCCAATTCCATGTTGCAATGCTTAACCGCCCAATAGGCTCGATGTTCCAACTCAACTGGAAAATGGCACGACTTACCAAAAACAAGTCGATACAGTGACATCCTAAAGGACCTTTATACGCAGTCCGATAAGCCCATAATGCGTCGGAAAGCTTCAGGCTCAAATTCTTCCGATCTGGCTTCACAATTTTTTCGAGAATAATTTTAATCTTGCGGTTTGACACTTCAGCTTGCCTGTTCGTTTGCGGATGGTAAGTAGTGGCAATCTGCTGAGTTAGGGCGTCAATCACTTTATTGATGAAGTGAGTTCCTCGATTGCATATTATTGCTCATGCTGTCCCAAACCTAGAAAAAATAGTTATTTCTCAAAAATCAAAATTTCAAGAGGCAAGAGCCTAACGCCTGTAAATGCAAAAAGAAAAAAGTGCTAAGGCATCCTTCGTTCAAATATGCATAAAAGAGAAAACAAGTGATAACTCACATTTGGGACAGTTGTCCGAGTAGACAGCATCCCATATCCTTCTAGCTAATGGACCAGCATAACCAGTGCAACGCTCCAGGTTCAGTTGAAGGTTCACATATGTCATATATGAAATTGTTCAATGATTGAAAAACACCACCATGCTGCTCACTGCAAATGTTTTGTAACAAGAATTGCCAAGAGAGAAGCACTGAATCTTAATGCAAAACATCAACTTAACGATCAATCCCAAGGGCATATGCAGTGGGCTTAAGAGCATCCAATACATAAAAACAGGCAAACGAAACTGAAAATGTGAGAGCTGTTGAGAAAAAAATCGGACTCACAATTATCAGTCTCATCATCATATGTCCAGAGGTTATATGTTTCTGTCCAACCTCTAAAAGCTTTACTATCTAGCGTGTGGTCAACAGTGGCCTCTGGTTTTCCTTCTTGGCACTTAAGGTCATCTGATGGAAGGCTGTAATGCAAGGGCTTCTTAAATGATTCAGGGAATTCACCTTCTGGACATTCAAACACTACAATCCCACAAACGGCACATACCATCATCAGGCCAAAACGGAGAGTTACACCACAATTTAACCTGCCCATGACAAAAAATAGAAATCTAGTCTTCAATGAAAATCAAGGGACCTATCCTAGAGCATAAATTTCAAATACAGCATACAAACAAACCTTTCGGTACAAAGAAAAAAAAGTTTCAAATCGGAGTAATCCATTCTTATGCCTAAATTCGTTCCACTTAAGCATCATAGTAATTAGACTTCTGAAACTGGTGTGCGTTTTTCATTTTAAAAACATGTTTGACTTCAAAACTTTCAAAAAACTTATAATCACTTCCTTTTAACAGTTCAACTACCGCAAGTATGAGTATTGTATTGAAAACAATATAAGTCAAAATACTATAATTTCTGAACAGAATGTTATGACTGCTAAACCGGCTATTTACCATACCATTTATCCGTAAGTTTCTTGAAATTAACTGTAATACATAACCATTTATGATGGAAAGCTCTCTGGTCCCTGCATCAACATTGTGAAAGTTAATTCTAAAATAACATATTATATTATTCACATAATATTCCATCATGCAATGGGCAACGGGCATTGAGCTAACCTTGAAGTACTGGGAAAATGGGGTTTTAACAAGGTCCTGTAGTATTGGATGTAATACTCCATTAAGATGGTCAACTGTCTCATAATCACAACAACAATCCTCTACAATTCCACTATACCTGTGTTTCTGCAAAAAATCAAGAAAATAAACAACTATTTCATCATTCATCCTAAAACAGAAAAGAGGGGTACAAGAGAGGGAACCGTTTTCAAGGAATTCATGTAAAAGCAACCGAGTATATGTAAATGTGAACCATGGTATTTGAATTTGTATCAATTGAACACAGAGGAAACAAAGAGAGAAAAAAAACTCTCAATTACACTTCAAGTTTCGACTACTTTCTTAGTATTATGCAACTATAACCAAACCACTGATTGTATTATGCTTCCAGAACCCTATTCTTGCTTTTGAAAGAAAGTTGTGATTCTTTGGTGCTGAATTCTCATGCTTTTGTTATCATTACCTGCAAAAAACTGGTTGCTAATGGCAACCTAGATATGTCCACAATACGAAAATATAAATGAATAATTAGAAACAGCCCAACTGCAACAGAAAATGAAGTTACTTTAAATGTTTCTAGTTCTTCCCACGCATTATATATGATGCCATTTTGTAGGTAGAGTTTCAATAAATTCAAAAGTTCTTCAAGAAATAATTCTAGCCAATAGAGTTGGAAAAGGATCCTTGATATTAACCATACACTAGAAAGAAATCAAAACCCAAAATGGAAAGTCAAAAGTAGGAAATATTTATTGTCTGATGCAAGTGAAGAAGAGAACAGTATCTTCAACGCAGTTCCAAGACCAAGAACCTCAAGCTTTCCCCAAAGTCGACATTTCGCACACCCTACACAGTCCATCAATGCACTGAAAAACCAAGTACAATTGTCATATCATTCAAATACTTGATTAAACCAGTGGCACAAATATCAGAGGTCAGAAATGAAAGAGAAAGTGGCAACAGTCCCTTAAAATTCCTTTGCAAGTGAGGGCTACCAAGAACCTAAAGAGAGTCAAAATTACAATTTCAGATTTCATTTCCCCTTGAGAATGTCAAAGTTTGGATGAATTCAGACATGTCTTAATGTGCAAATAAAAGTATGGTTTTAAGTAAATATGGTTTCTCATTTTATATGTTCAATAACGTAATGTAGGAATAAGAAATTGCATCTTTTTAAACGCGTCACCAACTAGGAAATTAGAGAAACCTGATATTTTTTAAATGACTTTGTATTTTCTGTTTCAGCTCAGGTCCTCTTTGTCCTTTCCTTAGTCGAGCTTCATCAAGTGGAAGTGGGCACGCAGCTTGCAATTTAGCTGTCGCATTAGGGACTGTGTTTTTAGGTCCTCGGTTGCTTTACCAGAATTGTATTCAGCTTGTTCCAGGTAATCAGTTGCCTGTGATGCATCAAGCAAGCTCCAGTGAAATAACCGACTCCACAATACATAAATACTTTAAAAGAAAATATAGATTTACCATGTACTTGTACTCATGCTACTCACCTTTGTCACAGCTTGGAGAACAAAGAGGAATGTGATGTACAAGTTTTGCACACGATTGGGATATCTTAAAACCCGGTTATACAGTATGTCAAGATTATGGCCCCACTGAAATAAGGTAATAGAAAAAATGTTATATATACAACTATTCTGCACCTACAAATAAAAATACATACAATTGATAATATATAGCAAGTTTTTGGCTTCATCAAGTAGATAATCAGAAGCTATATGGATTGAAATAGATGAGTGAAGACCGGATATTAATTTGTACAGTATTTCTTCTTCTTGGCATAATTCTTCAGCTGGATCTGCATAGCAGAGTAAAAATGAAAGAGGATTTTTGGGAAGAAAAAACAAATGACTCAATAGTATATCTCTGTCTTCCAATCAGGACAATTGTAACTAAGTGGACATGCTAGAACATAAATTATGTCAATCACAGAAAATAATCACTTCTCCAAATAGTAAAAGAATCCATTTAAGTTATGTTGATTGGAGGTTCATCACCAGACATAAAAAATCCAATACACAAATATTTGTGTGTTTTTGTTTGTGAGTTAGAGAGAGATGGTAGCATTGGAGACGATATGGTTAGACAAAATGAATGCACCATGAAAAAGTTTAACTAAAACATGACACAACATGAATATGAGCACGAATGTAGATAAATCAATATTGCACAAATTATAAAATACATAAAATATTATTTAACTATGTAATACCTTAAACACAATTATAACACCTAAAAATACACAAACATGATAGACTATGAGACAAAAGCCAGAAACACCAATACTATGAGAAAAAGCTGGTTCCAAATATTTGAACACTAATAGACTATATATCATGTTCTGATCAAGAGGAAAAAACACGCACTGCAAGCTCCTTAAGCTAATTTGGTACGTTGAACAAATCATGAGGAGGAATCCAGTAAACAATTAATAAAAGGATATTCAATAATAGTTATTTCTCAAAAATCAAAATTTTAATAGGCAAGAGCCTAATGCCTCTAAACGCAAAAAGAAAAAGTGCTAAGGCATCCTTCGTTCAAACATGCATAAAAGAAAAAGCAAGTGATAACTCACATTTGGGACAGTTGTCCGAGTAGACAGCATCCCATATCCTTCTAGCTGATGGACCAGTATAGCCAGTGTAGAGCTCCGGGTTCAGTTGAAGGTTCACATATGTCCTATCAGCTGCAATATGAAATTGTTCAATGATTGAAAAACGCCACCATGCTGCTCACTGCAAGTTCAACAAGAATTGCCAAGAGAGAAGCACTGAATTAAATGCAAAACATCAATTTAACGATCAATCCCAAGGGAATATGCAGTGAGCTAAGGGCATCCACAATACATAAAAACAGGCAAACGAAAATGAAAATGTCAGAGATTTTGAGAAAAAAAATCCAGCTCACAATTATCTGTCTCATCATCATATGTCCAGGGGTTATATGTTTCTGTCCACCCTCTAAAAGCTTTACCATCTAGCGTGTGGTCAACACTGGCCTCTGGTTTTCCTTCTTGGCACTTAAGGTCATCTGATGGAAGGCTGAAATGGTATGGCTTCTTAAATGATTCAGGGAATTCACCTTCTGGAAATTCACAAATAGTACAATCCTGCAAACGGCACATACCATCATCAGGCCAAAACAGAGAGTTACGCCATAATTTATGCTGCCCATGGCAAAAAAAAGAAGAAAACTAGTCTTCAACGAAAATCAAGGGACCAATCCTAGAGCATCAATTTCAAATACAGCATACAAAACAAACCTTTTGGTAGTCGATACTAAGAAAAAAAAATAAAAGAAAGTTCCAAATAGGAGAAATCTATTCTTATGCCTAATTTTGTTCCACTTAAGCATCATTATAATTAGACTTTTGAAACTGGTGTGGCAATTTTGATGTTGTGTCATTCAAGATATATTGCAAAATAGAACAGGTAAAAACATGAGTGAGAGAGTAAAGAAAGTAGAGAGAGACAGAGAGAAAGGTCAGTCCTCCTCCGACGTGAGTTGGACGGTGTTCGTTGATAATCTTAGCAAGAGAGTCTCTAGAAGAGAGTTAACAGAATTATTTTCATCCCAAGGTCATGTGGTTAGAGTTTTCATTCCAAATGAGACGAACAAACCAAAGTATAAATCCTACTCGTTTGCCTTCGTTCAGTTTGATAATGAAGTTGGAATGAGAAAGGCAGTCGAAAATTTAAACGGGTCATGGATAGATGGGAGGAAAGTTTTTGTTGGAGTTGCAAAATAACAGAAAGATCGATCAAGGTATGTAGGGTCATCTAAGGCTCTAACTGGTTCTTCAAAGAAGATTACAGAAGAAAATTCCAATCCAACCGAGAGACTTCAGCTCACGAGAAGCATAAGGGATGATAGGTCATACAAGGATGCCTTGATGATGAACATCCCGCAGAGAAGAGCTTTGAAAGATATAGAGAATAAAATGATGCTTCATAAAAGGGAAAGGAAAGAAGAATATTTGGGAGATGCATATTCCTTCTGATCATTCATCCTGGGTGAAAAGATCACTGACGGGCATAGTAAAACAAGCGTTTGAATTGGAGTTGGTGCAGAGTGCTTTGGCTAAAGAAGGTATCGAAGTTCAGATTGCCAGCTAGGGTTACATTTGGAAATCTTGTGTTATTATATTCAAGTCAAATGAGGAGATGAAGGAGGCTTGAATGAAAAGAAGTGAGTTGTTATGTTGTTGTTTTGACAGATTGGCACCTCTGTTGAATGAAGGAGATGTGGCAATGGCTTTTTGTTTGGTGGAGCTCTTTGGTGTTCCATTACTATGTTGGAAAGAAGCTTTTTTAGAAAAGCTAGAGGGGAAGTGGGGGACTGTGGAAGGTATTCAGGATTCCACTAAAAACAAGGAGGATCTCTCGGTTGTGAAAATTCTGGTTAGGGTGGCAAGTCCTTTTGATGTTTCGGAAGTGATTACTTTAGGATCGTATGGAAGATCCTACAAGGTGAAAATTAAGTTGGGTTCGACTTCTATCTATTCTGGGTTTTTCTCAAGTTCCACGTTGGAAAATTTTTCTGATGGAGGAGAAACTGCATCAGAGTCGTCGGAGATGAAAGAAAACAACCTAAAGTCAACTGATAAGACAGGTATTGTTCGGTTGGTTGAGGAAGCACGCAAGAGAGTTGATAGTTGGATGGAACAAGGAGCTACTTCTGGTTTTGTTAACATTGGCAGAGGATATCAGTCTCCTAGAAGAAGCAAGGATGGGAAAAGCATTAATGAAGGGATTTCAGATTTGCACAGTTTTGGGAGTTTTAAAAAGGGAGATTTTGCAGGTTTGGGTTTAAGGAATTTGAATAATTCAAATTGCAATTCTCAAGCCCAAACAGTTGAAAGTAATGAGCCCATTTTCCCAATAAAAAAGTTAATTCCTACAGGTCCAGCAGTTCAAATTTCTGGGCTTGGGTTTCCATTCCATAACCAGTGTTTGATTTCTCCAAGCAGTCCAAAGGAGACAGTAAAAAAGGGGATCCATTCCAGTGAAATTATAGTGGAGGGTGGTCTTAATAATTCAGCATTGAATTCAGTTAATGTGGGGTCTGTGGAAGGTAATAATTTGTTAACCTTGGGGGTGCTTTTCAAAATCGTTCAGCAGATACTATTTCTATGAAAAATGCTCCGGTGGGAATAAAGATGATAAGAAGTTATAAGAGTCTATAAAAGATCTAGGGAGAGAAACATTTGGCTCAAAAGTTTGCAGGAAATCAATTCTAAAACAGAGGGGGTTTGAGTTTATAAAAGATCTAGGGAGAGAAACATTTGGCTCAAAAGTTTGCAGGAAATCAATTCTAAAACAGAGGGGGTTTCAATCAAGCAGAAGAGGACTGTGAAGATGTGGGGAACAAGAGTTTTAAAAGGAGACTTAAAAGGATTTTGATTACGGATGCTTTAGAACAGGTTAGTGTTTCCACAATTTCATCCTCAACTTTTCCTTCGTTATTAAAGGAAGCTCTTGCAACTTGGGAAATAAACAAGATGTTGGGTATATCATTCAAAGAAGGGAAGGAAGCTTTCTTGGATAAAATCATGAATTTAGAGAAAGGTTTGAATGGGGTTAGTTGAGTAGGCTGAAAAGCTGGGGGAAGATTTTGGTATTAGCTTATTACCATGAGACCAAAGATAGTAATATTGTCATGGAATGTCAGGGGTTTGGGGAAAAAAGAAAAACATCGAGTTGTTCAGAAAATGGTCTCCGAGAAGAAACCATCCTTTCTTTTTCTGCAAGAAACAAAAGTGGAGGTATGTCCAAGGTCTTTTTGAGAAGAAGTGGTCTGAACAATCTTCAAGGGTATGTTGAATCGCCAGCAGAAGGTTCATCAGGGGGTTTATTAAGTTGTTGGGATGACAATGTTTTTGAGGTTGAAGATAAGCAAATTCATAGGAGATTTATTGCTATTTTAGGGAAATTCAAAATGAATCAATTTGTGTGGGTTTATTAATGTATATGGCCTTTCGGTGGAGAAAGAGAAAGCAGGTTTTTTTGAGGAGCTTTGCATGTTTTTGAATGGTATTAGTATTCCTTTTTGTGTAGGAGGGGATTTTAATGCTTATTTAACAGAAGAGGAGAAGGATAGTAGAGCACAAAACAGAAATTCGATGGAGATTTTTAGGCAGTTTGTTCATCAATCGGGTTTAATTGATTTCCATTAACTGGGGCAAGATTTACTTGGGGTAACAATTGGGAAGACCCTACTGTTGTCAGATTGGATAGGTGTTTGCTTAGTATTAATTTTTCATCCGCATTCTCGGATATCACCCAACATCTATTTTCGAGATCCATTTCTGACCATAATGCAATATTGCTATAGAGTGGGGGTGATAATTGGGGTAAGAAACCTTTAAGGCTGTTTAATTATTTGATGAATGAGGATTGGTTTGATGAGCAGGTTGTAGCTGCTATTAAAGAATGTAAGGAAGTTTAGATAAGAGCTGGTATTCTGAGCATCATTAGAAGTACAAAATCAGCTATTAAAAATGGTTTGGAAGGAGAGAGTAGTTTCCAGGTTCTGCCATTTCTGCTTTAGAAGTGAGGATTAATCAATTATAGCATAATTTACAGTCACAGCAGGATGTGAGGGGTACAAACAGTGTAGCTGAATTGCGTTCTTTGAGATCCGAATTGTGGAAATTATACAGAATTGAGGAGCAGATTTGGATACAAAACTCAAGAGTGAAATGAATAAAAGATGGAGATCGAAATACAAAATTTTTTCACACTTATGGCACAATTAGGAGGAGGTTGAATTCATTGAATGCTCTCAAAATTAAAAATGAAATCATTTATGATCCGATTCTCATCAAGACAAGTGTCCGTGATCACTTTGTCGAAACTTTTAATTCCCAGTCTACTCTGGAAGTGGAAGACATCAAGCTGAATTTTTCAAGAATTTCTTTAGAGCAGAATATTAGCCTTGAAAAAAGGTTCTCGGAAGAAGAAGTTTGGGAGGCTTTGAATTCATGTGATAGTAACAAAGCGCCAGGGCCGGATGGGCTAAATATGAGATTTTTCAAAAGGTTTTGGTCCACTTTGAAAGATGCTGGAATTTTTTCATAATTTTTACTTGGGTAAAAATTGGGAGCATGGTATTAATCACACTTTCATAACCCTCATCCCAAAGGGTTCAAACATTGGTGGCTTAGATGATTTCAGACCTATTAGTTTAGTAGGTGGAATGTACAAGATCCTTTCGAAATGTCTTTCGAGAAGGTTGAGATGTTGCATGAATGACGTTGTTAGTGCTTCACAATTTGCTTTCACTCCTGGTCGACAAATCTTGGATTGTTCTTTTATAGCTAATGAAGGAATAGACTTTTGGAGGAAGAAAGGTTTGAAGGGATGCGTGTTTAAGGTAGATTTCAAGAAAGCTTATGATACAGTGGATTGGGATATTTTTTATAAAGTAATGGACAAAATGGGTTTTGGAATAAAATGGTGCAGCTGGATAAGAAAATGTGTGACTACAGCCTCGGTGTCAGTGTTGGTTAGGCACAGAGGAATTTTCAATGGCAAGAGGACTTAGACAGGGCTACTCCCTTTCCCCATTATTATTTAATTTTATAGGAGAGCTCCTTAATCTACTGCTTCTTAAGGAGGTTTCTTCGGGGTTGTTCAATGGTTTGGTTGTAGGCAAAGAAGAAGGTTCTTATATGCTATCTCATCTGCAATTTGCAGACGACCTTATAATTTTTTGTAATGCATCCAAGACGCATATCTTAAACGTTAAGAGAGTTCTACGAGTTTTTGAAATTATGTCTGGTCTTCAGCTTAATCTCAGCAAAAGTAAATTATTTGGCATTAATATTAGTGACGAAGAGGTCAAGGAGTGGGCGGGGGACCTTGGGGGTGCAGTTGATACTTTCCCTTCTGATTATTTAGGGTTGCCGCTTGGAGCAAATAGGAATTTTTCTGCTCTGTGGGATCCGGTTGTTCTGAAATTTTTTAAGAAGCTTTCGGGTTGGAAGGCAAAAACTCTTTCTTTGGCAGGGAGACTGGTATTATTGAAATCAATATTATGCTCTCTACCTACATATTATCTATCTATGTTTAAAATTCCAACAGCAATGAATTCTAAGTTGAACTCTATCATGACCAATTTTTTATGGGGAGGAGGGGCAAAATCTAAGAAAATACACTGGGTAAACTGGTCCACAGTGTGTAAATCAAGAAGTTGTGGTGGTCTTGGTGTGCTGAATCTCAATTTTATGAATAGGGCATTATTAGGGTAATGGTTTTGAAAGTTTGCTAATGATAGAGAATCAATTTGAAAGAAGATGATTTGTTTCAAATACAATCTGAACACTAATATGATTTTTCTCTCTAACAAATTACCAACAAATGCTTCTTGGATTTGGAAATCGGTGGTTAATAATCACTTGATGAGTTTGGTGCTAAGTTTCGTAGCATGATTTAAGTCAAAGTGGGTAATGGGGAGAGAATTAGGTTTTGGTTTGATATTTGGGCTCTAAATCATCCTTTGAAGATTGTTTTCCCGAGAATTTTTGCTCTTTCTTTGAATCAGTTTGGGATATTAAATGAGTTTGAGATATTAAATGAGTTTGGTGAGTTCAATTCATCAGGGTGGTCTTGGTATGTTCAGTTGAGAAGAAACCTATGTGATTGGGAGCTGGAATGGTTTTCAAATTTACTATCATTCATAATTTCAGTCTTTCACAAGAGTCTAGAGATTGTCTGATTTGGAAAGGCAACGGGGAAGGTATTTTTTCTGTTAACCTTGTATGAAGACTTGTTTCCTAGAATCGGCAGAAGACAATTTTTGGGTGAAATGCATTTGGAGGGGCTTGGTGCCTCCAAAAGTAGAAACTTTTATGTGGCAAGTAGGGCATCAGAAGTTGGCAGTAAAGTTTGAGTTACAAAAACAAGGGGTTTCGGGGATTGTTGATATTTCTTGTCATTTGTGTAAAAGAGAGATTGAATCTGTCCCTCACCTATTTTTCTCTTGCACGGTGGCATGGTCCCTTTGGAATAAGTTTCTGAATTTTTGGAAACTTAGTTCGGTTCTTCACGTTAATGCTCAAGGATTTCTACTTGCTTGGAATGATATGATGTCTTCTTCTTCTGTTTGGTCATTAATTCCGGGAGTAGTGCTTTGGACTATTTGAAAATTTAGAAATGTCATGGTGTTTGAAGGAAGGCCTTTAGATCAGATTGAGCTATTTTTCATGGCTAGGCTAAGGTTGGCTTCTTGGTTTTTAGCTAAGTTCAACGAGGTTACTACTTCTAAAGACTCCCTGATTAGTGATCCATCTATTGCAGATTTTTGTTGTTCTTCTAGAAACTCGGCTCCTAAAATTGTGTCCTGGATCCCTCCTCCAAAGAGTTATCTAAAATTGAATATAGATGCAGCAGTTTGCGATGATTGGCGAAAGAGCGGTGTAGGTGGTTTATTAAGAGATGATGCTGGCGAGATGAATGGTTCTTTCAAAGAATCTGCTGGTCCAGGCCCTCCTACTTTGCTGGAGCTTATAGCCATCAAGAGGGGTTTAATTATCTTTGAGCCTATTCTTCAGAGATTTAAGAATCGGTTGATTGTTGAATCTGATAGCAAACTTGCAGTGGATTGGGTTAAGAATTTAGATAGTTGTCCTGTTGTTTTCCTTGATCTAGTGAAAGATATTGCTGCCATGATAAGAGTATTGGAGGGTGCTATTAGATGGGTTGGCAGAACAGCTAATATAGAAGCTGATAGC